TTTGCTAGGCAGGCACAGATGGGGAAGGACAGGCATTCTGGTAGATGGAGCCTGAGCCAAGGCTTTGAGGTGTTAAACAGCCAAGCAGCTTTGGCCAATTTCTGAGAGTAGCTCTTTAGTCACTAAGTCCAACTCTTTGTGACCCCCATGGATTGCAGCATGCCAGGTTTCCCTGTCCTTCACTATCTCCTGGAGTTTGCTTAAACTCATGTCCAGAGTAGAGGGGTAGACAGTTGGGAGATGCCATGAGAAGTAAGGCTGGGTAAGGTAGACAAGAGACACTTTGCATAGACCTCCATGTCCTACAAAGGAAATTGGTTTTAACCCCAAGGCAAGGCTAGTCCTGACCCCCCAGTTCACTGGCAGTGGTACTGACCTGACTTCTGCTGAAGTAACAACTAGATGTTATAATCTAAGTGAGGCATTTGGATGCCATCATTCCAAGATGGTACTCCATGTTTGTAGCAGCAATCACCCCAGCGAGACCAGTGCTCTCCCATCCCTGAGCCCAGATATCACCAGCATCAGCACTACTCAGACTTTGCTTTTCTCTTGTGGAGGAGAGACTCTTCAAGGAGGTTTAATTTTACAAGTGCTACCTCATATTTTCCTCCCCAACCTCATGCCCCACAGCCTAGACTCCACAACTGGCCATCAGACAACTTTCTGATCAATTCTTGCTCTTTGTCCTTTTAATCTTTAAAAACAAAAAATGTTTAAACACTTGTTGGGAATAGAACACCACTTCCCTGATGACTCAGAGGGTAAAGAATCCACCTGCAATGCAGGACACACAAGAGACATGGGTTCAATCCCTGGGTTGGAAAGATTCCCTGGAGAAGGAAATGGCAATTCATTCCAGTATTCTTGCTTGGGAAATCCCATGGACAGGGAGGCTGGCAGGCTACAGTCCACAGGGTCGCAGAGAGTCAGACATGACTGAGCGATTAAAGCACAATGAAGAATTTTAAGCATGTATGTGACATAATCAGTTTTTCATTTTCAAAAAAACCCTTGATTGCAGTGTGCGGGACTGGAGATGGGAGGGCAGTCAGAACCTTGCTGTCACCCAGCTGAGACTGTAAAGCCTTAATTATACAGTAAGAGCAAGTGAAGAGAAGAGGACAGGACTTGCTTCCTATTGGATGTGGGAATAGGAGACAGCGAAATGGTTCTAAGATTTCTGGCTGGGAGATTGTCGGAGGGCGATACCTCTTCCCCATTCCTGTGCTTCTGTGAAGGACTTTCCCCAAACACTGCTGGCCCTTTGCCCAGCCCTTGTTCCTGTGCTGAGATGGAGTGAGTTACCTGGTTAGAGGGTGGCAGCCATTTGTCGATGTTTCTTAGGATGAAGTTAGTGTGTGTGTTGGGGGAAGGGTCCAGTCCATTTCTCCTGCCTCTCCATCCATGACCCCTGAGGGCAGTGGTCCTCTCTGCACACCTGATTCCCTCAGAGGATTTGAACTTGGAGACAGGAAACTGGGAAGCCCATTTACCTAATCTCTAGTCTCCAAATTACTGCCTCTCTGTAATCAGGGTGGTACTCTGCTGACTTTTGGACCTACTTTCTCAGTTGGTTCAGATCTCAGGAAAAGCTTTTTTTTTTTTTTCTTTTACTGTGCTGGAGTTTAGTTGAGGCACGCAGGATCTAGTTCTCTGACCAGGGATAGAACCCAGGCCCCCTGCATTGGGAGCTCAGAGTCTTAGCCACTGGACCACCAGGGAAGTCTCAAGAGAGCTACTTTTTAAGGGCATCCCCTTAAAACCCCAAAACTGTGTTGGTCTGAGGTGCCTATAGGGACATCCAGGTGATGCTGTCCAGGGAAGATGGCTGGAGTGAGGGGCTTGGGACCCAGAAGAAGCCTGGCTAGAGACAGGTGGTGTTGGATGCTAGGGGCTGGACGAGGTGACTGGGGCAGTGGGAAGAGCAGCAGGAAGAGCGGCGGTCGGTGTTGACTTGCATTTGTCCCCAGCAAAGGGGCAGGCCCGGGTCTGGAGATGGTATATCAGTAGGTCTGGGCTGGTGACAGTCATCTGTGTTTTCTAAAACTCAGACATGATTCTGACACTAAACAGACTTGAGGAGACATGGTGAGAGTGGGAAGTTCGAGGACAGGCCACGAGACCCGCCAGCACTTGAGGGGATATCAACCAGGGAGTGTTGATCTAAAGTTATTTGATAATGACCTCTGACTGGTCACATCATTGATAGACTGGGCTTCCTGGGGGATACAAGCTAGGGCCTGGACAGTACACAACCTTGTTACAGAAAAGACAAACTCATTTCAATTATGATATGATATTCTAAAGAAATACATTTAAATGTTCATTCTTGATAATGCAATTTTTTTTTTTGGCTTTCCTAGCAGGAAGGTCAGATCACACAGTTCTAATTAGGCAACATTATTAGCACTGCAAATTGATTGCTTGCTTCCAGAATGAAAGGGAGAAAGACATCTTGGCTTAAACAATAAAAAGGATTAAAAGAAATTCCCTTGAGTCCATCTTGAGATACAATCTGAGTAAAAGAAATGGAATCCTTTGATTGTGTAATTTAAAGAATTAAATTTAGTTTAAATCTTTAAGTATAAAAATGGGGTTACGTTTACATTCCTTTAAAGTATTTGTGTGACTCTGGGAAAATTACTTGAAGCCACTGTGCCTCACTCAGTTTTCCCATCTAAAATGGGAAAAATAACAAAACTCATATAAGATCTTTTTAAGGATTAAATGGGGAAATACATTAAAAGCATATAGCATAGTGCTCTGAGCACATACCAAATATTCAATAAATAGCTGAAAAAGTTTTAGACAAAAAACAAAACAGTGCTACTTACAGATATTACTAGCTTAACTCTCCGTGCTTCTAAAACAGGAGCAGCATGGCATGATTTAAACTTAATGCATATTAGTCAGGCCTCTGAGAACCAGGGAATTTTCCTGGGTTGGGAAATAAACCACTCTGATGACAGAACACATTTCTTGGCTATTTGAAAGATTAGCTTCAAAGATCACTTTATAAATTCACCTCTCCCAGAGCTTATTTGAGTCTCTGGATAGCTACATAGCCCAGCTTGGGAAGTGTCTGCCTTGCTTTGTGAGGTAGAGAGAAAAATAAGGAGGCCTTGGAAGCACTGTGACCCAACAGTGCTGATAATTATTCACCCATCAGTTCAATAAATGAGTGTCTACGTTGTGCTGAGCAAAGTGCTAAGCGTTAGGGATACAATGGTAAATAAATCTCGTCTCCAAGGAGCCTACGTATGAGTTAATGAAAGAACAGATGTGCAAATATGTGTTACATGTTAAATGATAAGTGCCAGGATTTGGGGTGTGCACAGCATGCCATGGGAGCAGAGGGGGAGGGCTCCCCTTGAGACCACACAGGCAATTGGACAGATGCTGATATTAATCATCTGAACTGGGACTTCATGAAGGGAAGGACACGTTTAAGGGAGAGGGTAGTGAGTTTTGGTCTTGTGATGTTGTTTGAAGCACTTGTACAATATCCAAACCAAGATGGCCAGCAGCAGTTGCATGAGTGAGTCTAAAACCAAGGAGAGAGGTCAAGGTTAGAGACCCAGACTGGGAAGTTATTAGCTGATGGGCATGGATGATAAACTACCTTGGAAGAAGGTTAGAGCCGAGAGAGAGCGTGGAAGACTGACATTTAAAGGGTAGGCAAAGGAACAGAAAGCAGAAAGGAAAACTGAAAAGGAATAGAGAGGAAGAACAGGAGCCCAGAGGGGAGCGAATGAGCAGAAAAACAAAAAATCAAGAGAGGATTTTCAAGACAGTACTTTCAAAATAAAACTTTAATGACAGTTAGTTAGCTGCGATTCCATAAAAGGATCGTCCTATTTTCAAAGAATTTGCAGTGTCTTACACATGTGTTAAAAGACTGAGAAAATAAATTAGAACATTAGAATGCACACCCAATGCTAAAACTACAGAGCACAATATAACTTCTAGATAGTTCGAAAGGCACTTGGGGATTTTTTCAGTGCCTCAGAGCATCATTATGAATCCTAATGACTGTTGTCTTGTTCACCTGTGGGAGCACTGATCAGTGGAGAGTGAATTGCCCTCTGGAAAAACCAACTTGGACTCTGAATGGGAAGGCTGACTAGCAGCGACAAGACAGAGGGATATCAGGATCCCAGCTCAAGCTAGGACGCCAGCTGACCCCATCAGAGACCTAAAAACATCAGAAAGAATTAAAACATTTAATCGTTCTAGCTCCCCCAACCCCTGTGTGTATATGCAAGAAGGTCATCTACGGGGAAGTTCAGAGAGCAAACCAACCTCCCATCCTAATATCCTAATATACTAGAAATGATGGTGACATCAGTATGTATGTTTTTCAGAACCTCTCAATAGCCATCCAAAGGCTTGGATCTGAGTTCATAATGGTCAGATCTACACCTAAAATAATAAGTTTAATAGAACCAAGAGAAGCTGATTTACAAAACCTATTTCCAAGACTGAGCCTTCCCTAAGAGGGATCCTCTGGGCTTGAGGAGGGATCCTAACTAATATTCTAGGCACAGGGGCTAAATGGACCGTGTGTCTTCCCTGGGCTCTGGTTGTAAGGTCACGCCATGCTTGTGATTTAGCAAGCTGTCCGTTCTGCTACCATCATAGTCAAACAAGTAAACTTGAGTCGAGGTGTTAGGGGAGTGCTCTCTCTAGATAACCAGATTCGGGCACTGCCGTGGCCACTGATGATCTGACAGCAAATGAAAGCTTTTTCATAACAGTCAAGACAGCCAACATGGCAATAATTCCCCACTGTCCTTGCTGAGCGAGTGGGACTGCTGGATTTAGGAAGGCATTTGCCGAGTTGCACATCTGATGAGAAAGAAGTGGGGAAAGAGGTGTCGATAAAGGGAAAGGAACTGGCTGGACGCGGGCCGGGGCTGCTCGCTGCCACCTTGCCTGTCTGCATGGCAGTGGGTAGCTGTGGTTTTGTCTTCGTGAAACTCGTCTGGAGTTGGAGGCTATTCATCATCGTCATCACTGTCATCATTGTCCTCTTCATCAGAATTATCATCGTCGTTGTCGTCGTCTTCGTCCTCTTCATCGTCATTGTCATCATCCTCCGTGTTTATCTTCCCAGAAAGCACATCCTCAATCCAGTCTTCCAGCTCCTCAGCTGTGGGCAGGTCATCATCATCTGGAATCTCCATCCACACACTGTCAGCCTGCATCCAGAGACAGAATGAGTGTGAGAGTGAGTGCACGAAGGATCAGCCAGGCCAGAGGCTTCCAAGCGACTGTGCTGTGTGAACTCCAGGTCACTTACACTTATCAGGAATATGTGCACATGGGATCTTCCCGACCGAGGGATCAAACCCATGTCCTGCACAGGCGAGCGATTCTTTACCACTGCACCACCTGGGAAGCCCATTAAACAGAGATGCTTAGTAGCAAATGGTACGCATAGTATCCTGTTTGTGCAATATAAAAGGAAATCTATATTCCATTGCATTATATATAATATATATATTCCACTGTTTTTTTCAATTTTTTAAAAATTGTTTTATTTTATTTATTAGACACACAGCATGTGGGATCTTAGTTCCCCAACCAGGGATTGAACCCATGCTCCCTCCATTGGGAGCTCAGAGTCTTAACCACTGGACCACCAGGGAATCCTTCAACTGTTTGTTTATATAGCCAGTTAGCAATGTTCTTCTTTTTTTATTTTTTAGCAATGTCATTTCACTCTCTTGGTAGATGTTCAGTTACCTGGGAAATTCTACATTTATTATTTTGTAAACTAATTTTCAAATTACTGGGCTTCCCTGATAGCTCAATTGGTAAAGAATCTGCCTCCAATGAAAGAGACCCCAGTTTGATTCCTGTGTCAGGAAGATCCCCTGGAGAAGGGAAAGGCTACCCACTCCAGTATTCTGGCCTAGAGAATTCCATGGACGATATATGGTCCATGGAGTCACAAAGAGTCAGACATAACTGAGCAACTTTCACTTTTTCACTTTTTAAAATCACTAATAATGATTAAAATTCTGCTTACATTAAAACAGTTTTAAAAAAGAATGGTAGGATATAAGGTGAAAAGCAAAAGTATTCTTGGTTGCCCTGACCCCACCCCTGACTCAGACTAGGATCCGTCCATGTTGGCAAGTCTCCTGAGCTAAAGCTTGTTAAAGCAAGGCCAAGGGTCCTGCTCATTTCATGAGGGGATGGACTCCTATACAGGATCTTACAATCTGGGCTGTGTGGCAGAAACCAGGGCAGGTGGAAGTTATCTGAGCAAGCTTTCATGAGGTATACTCACATCTGTCACATTCACCACTCCAATCTGTGGCTTGAAGAGGTCAATCTTGAAAGTCTTTTCCCAATAGGCAACAAGCTGTAGCAACAAAAATTGAAATTAGACAGTAGGCATCATCCCCTGTTCAAACCACTTTTTGTGGCTGGACCCACCTGCCATGCCATCACAGTAATGAGGCCACCATTGGTTAAAGGTCTCCAAAACAGCTGTGGACATGGAGGAAACTGAAAACTTGGCATCCAGCACTTTAAATAAGCATGGAAAAAAGATGTCATAACACAAACTATGAAAGCATGTAATATAAAAGCTTCTACAGCTGGAAGGAAGAATATTACAGAGATGGTCCAAAGCTGTTTCCCAAATTCCCTGTGGTTCTTTTATAGTTCATGTGTGGTGAAGGAGCCATTCCCCTCCACAGTATCTCACTTAAAAACCCCTTACCTTGAGCCTGTTTGCTCATGAGATGTCTAGGAAAGCAGTGGTGTGCTGTAAGTGGGCATGCAAGAAAGAAGAAGACTTCTCCATTCAGACAGACTTGGGTTCATGTGGACTAATAGGGGCAGGACTCAATGAGTAAGGGGCCATGGGGTAAGAAAATGGAGATGTTCAGTGGTAGAAAGTCTTCCAAACAAATATATGGTCTGATGGGGACTAGAGGATAGTCAAGAACTTGGAAATTAGAAGTCTGAAGATTTCTTATTTGCAAAAAGCAAGGCAAAGAGAGCAGGTCAGGAGAAAAGCAGACCATCTGTGAGCTTGCAAAACAAAATAGTCCAGGTAAATGAGAACTAAAACCAGGTAACAGCTAAACAAACAAAACTATAACATATAGCATCTTATAAGGCCATGACTTTGTTATGGTTGCCCAGAATCATGACATTGGCCTTAGGTGACATGGAATTCTCTGCCTTCGATTCACTCATCCTCTATGTAGGATTGGGTTCCAGGACCCCTGAGATCACTGACACCCTTCATTTTTGTATATTTAATCATAGTTTGATCAATTGTGACCTATGCAACAAATGATAATTCCTGGAAGAAGATAGAGATCATTTATATTCTTTTTTTTTTTTTTTTCCTATTTTTTGTCTCACTGAAAAGCATGTGGGATCTTTGGTCCCCTGCCAGGGATGGAACCATAACCCCTGCAGTGGAAGTGTGGCATCTTAACCACTGGACCACCAGGGGAGTCCCTATCATTTATATCCTAATGATAGCTAGTATTGAGTATCAGCATTTAGCTCCACCTAAGGTCTATTGACTAATAGACCAAGCTTTGGCATCACATAGACCTAGGTTAGAAGATCATATCTACCACTTACAGCTTAAACCTCTCCAGTTGTCATCCCGTAAGATAGGTATTACAATGGTCTGTACTTCATAGGGTTGTTGAGAGGATTAGATGAGATGATGCATGTAAAGAATTTACCATAGTTCTGGGCATATAATAGAGTATATGAGTTACATTCATTACCACTGGGCTCACATATTGCTACAAATTCTGTTTATTTTCTTTAAAATGAAGCATAATCGAGGCTTTGATCATTGACCCAGCAAGAGTGTAAGGGCCTTACACATTCAACAGGTGCTAGATATTATGCTAGGAGAGCATGATGAACAGGACAGACAGGGTCCCTGCCTTCCCAGAGGTTGTTCTCAACTCCATGCAGAATGTTCATCTCTGAAGGTTTATTACTTAGAAACTCGGGTTGCCCCAGAGTGATGGTCCCCCTCAGAAAATGAAAGAGGTTAGAGCAAGGAGTGGTAGGCAGCTATGGAACCGTTGGCAGAAGAATTTCACCCACACTTAAGTGGGCCCCGAGGAACTCTGGCCTCCAGGGAGTGAGAACAGTAAGTCTTACCAGGTCAGTGTGGGCACCAGGCCTTAAGTTCAGTGCTGTCCCGGGGGCCAAGATCTTCACATTGGGTAGAGGCAGCCACTGGGCTTCTGCAAGTGCCCCTCCTATTTTACCTCCTCCTTTGTGCATCCAGTTCTCATGCTAAACACAAACATGAGACTGTGACGGTGACCGAGGACGAGGTCCCAGTCTGAGCCACTCACCAGGGGAAAGTCGTCGGGGTCGATCCATACGATGCTCAGGTCCGGGTTGTCTGTGTTGTCCCGGGCAACCTGCTTCAGGATCTCCAGGAACTCATAGCCATCTGAAGCAGGATGCAAGAAGGTTAGTAAGCTCTGCACATGCATGGTTTCTAAGAGGGAAAGCAGAGTGCCGCTTTTCCATGAGGGTTCCTTAGGTTATTTGGCGCATACCCTCAATTCCAGGATTATTCTACAAAATGAGCCAGATGAGAACTCCAAACACAAAGCAGCTTATTCAAAGGAAACGGTAAACATTTTGAATTAAGAAATTAAATGTTTCACAGCGAAGTGCCTGGTTGTAACTCAAAGCTAAATTCCATTTGCTAAATTGCCTGTGAAAACTGACCAGCTGAGGAGTCAGAAAGTGCAACCCCAGAACAGAGAAACTCCAGTCTGGTGTTCAGTGCTCTGCGCCATCTCTTAAAACGGATAATTTGTTATCCCTCAGAGCTCCCCAGAACATTCACTCTGTTCACCAAGAACTTTTAGCCTGCATCCTTAGTTTTCTACAAGTTCCTAAAACTTTCAAACTAAGTGGACTTCTGATTGATGTGTGCATGCCAAGTCGCTTCAGAGTGTCCGACTCTGTGTGACCATATACTGCAGCCCGCCGGGCTCCTTGGTCCATGGGATTCTCCAGGCAAGAATACTGCAGTGAGTTGCTGTGCCATCTTCCAGGGGATGTTTTTGACCCAGGATCAAACCCGCATCACTTACGTCTACCTGCATTGGCAGGTAGGTTCTTTACGACAGTTAGTTTCAAAGCTCTGAGTTAGTGAATGGGGTTCCCTTCCTCCCTCTCACTATTTCCTTGAGAGCTCTGCCCTGTCTTATTCAATTCACAGCATTCATTGCCCCCCCAGGGGAAGGATGATTCATATGAAAAGCAGATACAAGCCTCATTAAGACAAGCTGATGGCTTCAAGAGCAGAGAAAGCCTAAACCTTGAAGAACTGAGAAAGAAAAACTTCATGTCATAAACAAAAATTTTGATTAGTAAGAAAAAAAGAAATGTTTGTTAAGAGAAAGCATAACCTAAACCTTCAACATCTCTCTCCCCGACTCCCAATTAGTAAGAAAGAGTTTAGGTTGTAACAAGTCCCTGAGAATAAGCTCTGTACCAGTGTGTATGTGTTTGTGTGTGTAAGTCCAACCGCTGGGAAAAGCACGCCCATGTATCCACATATAAAAAGCTCCATGGTTTCCAGGAATCCCAGAGTATAGGGGACTCATGGTTTGTTTTAGAATAAAACTCAGGAAAATGGAAAGACCTCAGAGTTTCTTGGTGAACCCTCTGGTGCAAGAGCCCTACGACAAAGAAGACTGTTAGGAGGCCTCGCTTAGTTCTCTGGGGGGACACAGATGAGGCTGAGGGAGATGGATCTGAAGAGGCCCAGCAATTGGGATGAAGGGGACAAGTGATGACTAGTAGCTCAGACGGTAAAGCATCTGCCTGCAATGCATGAGACCCGGGTTCAATCCTGGATTGGGAAGATACCCTGGAGAAGGAAATGGCAATCCACTCCAGAATTCTTGCCTGGAGAATTCTATGGACAGAGGAGCCTGGTAGGCTATACAGTCCAAGGGGTTGCAAAGAGTCGGATATGACTGAGTAACTAACACACACAGAGATATAAGGAAGACCTGTCCCCATGCCTGGGTGGACCACATACTGGAAAAGAAATCTATGGCATCCAGTCAATTTGGCTTCCCTGTGGCTTAGTGAAAAATCTGCCTGCAATGCGGGAGACAGGGATTCCATCCCTGGGTCAGAAAGACCTCCTGGAGAAGAAAATGGCAATCCTGTCCAGTATTCTTCCCAGACAGAGGAGTCTGGTGGGCTGTAGTCCATGGGGTCACAAAGAGCTGGACACGACTGAGCGACTACCACCACCAGTCAATTTGAACCCCTCTCTGCAGCCTCTGTTGAACACGCCTCTCCTCTCTCCAGGCATCCTAGCCTTTGTTTGGCTACCTGGGGCCTCTTGGGAAAGGTTTTTCCCTGCACTTCCTCATCCCTAATACACTCTAGGCAAAATGCACACTATTCTTAGCAACTCTGCTTTGAGCCGGTGTAGTCTCTTTAAGTGTAGCTAAATCATACTAAAGATTCAGAGTGGACCCCTCAGCCCTTGTTACCTGGAAGGCAGAACTACCTCTAGCAGAGAAGAGGGTCTTTATGGCCTGCAGCCCTATCCTGCAGAGATCTGGGTGGTCTGGGTGATTTTTTCATCTATCCGCTGAATTACATGACAAATTAGATTGTTTGACAGATGGATGGGGTTTTGTGCTTCAGAGTTTATCATCTATCACTGTAGGGGTGGGAGTGGAGGTGGGGCTATTCCTCCGGCAGTCCGTAGGTGTGGCTGAGAAGGTCGCTCCGGAGGGCCATTGGCTGCTGCTACCTGGACACCATGCATCTGCCTTCTCTGGGCATGTCGCTGTCACAGGACAGGGAACTATGGTGCCACCTGGGTTAGCTGTGGGTTTATATATCATCAAATACACAGACTGCACTGGGGGGTTTTCCTCAAGAGCATCAGTCACCACTTTCAGCAGCCAAGGAGAGATGGATGGCTACAAATAAGGTGCGGCTGCCCGCACCCTGGAAAGTGAGGATCACATGTGACAAATTAGAAATTCACAAAGAGGATGAAATTCAACAACACAGTCCGGAATTCATGTAGAAAGTAAACCTGAGGTGCAGAAGACTGACTGACGTAAGGGAAGGCAGACGCGGGTCTAGGTATGAGTGCAGAGGACTAAGATCTGAACAGAAGCCGAACACACGAGATGGCGCTGCTTGTTTCGGATGGAAAACCCACATATCACGATTTATAAATAGGAATGTACATACAGGGACATTTCTGTTTCAGAGCAGGTTTGGAGACAAAAAGAGAAAGATTGAAGGAACAAAAATTGGGTCCTGCAAGAAAAATCAAATGATCTGGAGTTTTTACATAAACAAGATAAGTCAAAATTGTGGTTTAATGCTTGTTTTTAAGAATACAGAACGTTTTTTTGTGAGGAGAATATTCTTTGTGCCTATGGAGGAGCGAGGAAAGCTCAAAAAACAAGCCTCAATAAATTAATAAATGAGTTGCCATTAACATTGGGATGTTTCATCCAGAGTCAAGGGCAGTATTTGACATCCCGGATGATGGATTCTGTAAAGGGCCTACTCCCTCTGCATCCCTGAATATTTCCAAGAACAGAACCTGTTCTTCAGGGAGTCAGCCCAGCTTGATGCTTAAACATGTGGACACTTGGGGCAATTGGTCCAAATCCTGGGTCTGCCATTTGGAGCGTGACTTAGGGCAAGTCATTTAATGTCTTGGTTTCTCGTCTAAAAGGGGAATGATAACAATAGTACCGATTTTGTGAACTGATTGTTAGTTAAATGAGTTAGTGTCTATAACACTTAGATGGTGCCTGAGACAAAGTAAGGCTTAGCTATTATTCTTCTGAAATTCTCAGACACTCTTCTGCCTGAATACAAGGAATCTGGCCATTCATCTGTTTATCCAGTGCATATGTCTTAAGTGCAAGGATCTGGGCACAAGGGTGGGCTAGATACAGTTTTGGCCTGTGGCAGAGAAGACACTTTCCTATGCAGTTACACCAGGAGGTGGTATATCATAGAGTGATTCCTTCTGGTCCCTGTTGCTGATTCAGTGACTGAAGGCTGCAGGGCTGGCTATAGCAGCTGGTATGACTATGAGAACCTTGCCTCAATACAGGATTAAAGCAAGGCTTACTTACTTTGTTTTAAAGTCATTAAGCTAATTTTGCTATTCCTGATCCAAGGCTCGCAAGCCCTGTTTACCTCTGTTAACCGCCAGCCTTGAATCATCGTTGGAATGAATTCTCAGTCATCTGTGAAAGCAGAATTAAGACAGCCACACTGGCCTCATATGTCTTCAGTCACTAAAATTGTAACTTACAAGTTCAGTTTCTTCTTAGGGACCACTTCTGTTTCTTTGTAAAACAGGTATCCTGGAAAAGGGACACATCCACTGTGGACCCTCCCTTTTTGACCAGGAAGGCAAGTGTTGGGAGCCATATTTCACTTTCGTAATTCAATGTTAAGCACAAGACTAGTTCACAGTTGCAACTATACGAATGAATGAATGAATGAATGAGTTTGAAATTAATGACCATTTTCTCATCAATGATATACCCAGCTTTGAGGCCTTTTAAGATTGTGACATGTATTTCTCAAAAAGAACAGCCTGTAATTCTTTTTTTAAAGGTAGATTAAGAAAAATGAGGAAATATTATTTTGAGATTTGTAGACTAGTAGTTATTTCACCATTGAAAGTAAAGAGCTATTCTCTGTGGGCATTAGTTGGAGAAGCCGCCATTCTCAAAGCCAGAAGGGATTCCCAAACATTCCACATATCTAGGCAGGTGTATAGATAGCCCCACCCAGAACATTTGTCTGTCTTCTCTCTTGAATGTTTCCAGTGCTGAGACCCTCTGGACTCCCTAAAGGTCTAGTACAGAATCAATAACCCAGACAGCCAAGAGTTCTTTTCTTTCATCAAACTGAAATTTCCTTTTTTCTCAAGAAGTCCATCTTCCAACTTCTTCCTTTATGCACACAGAGCATTGTTCTTTATGTGCAGGAAGCCTGAGATCATGTTGCCCAACCTTGATTTTACCAGTATTTCTCGAGCATTTACTGGCTACTGCCTATTAAGTACTTCTGCATTTAATCTTTGTATGTAGTCCTGGTGGAGGGTAGGAAGATGTTATTATCTCCATTTTAAAGAAGATGAAATTCAGACACAGGGAGAGTCCCTGACTTGCCCAGCATCTCACACCAGCAAGTGGCAGAGCCAGGATTCTAACTCAGGTCTTTGGTCTACACCTCGGGTTCTGTTTCCACAGCCCACAACGTGTGGTCTCCACACACTGACCCAAACTGCTGCATCTTTTTGCTCAAGTCTGTGCTTGAGACTCGAGTGAAAGCATCCATGTGAGGGAAGCGAGGGCATGGACAGCGGGAGACACAAGGGTGGACCTGGGGGCTGATGGGCTGGCCTTTGTTGGCCTTTGC